TCCATACAAAGTGTCTCCCTGCTATTAGTTCTCCGTCCATATCTTTCTCCTGAGGTAGGAAGATATATGACAATATGAAAAAGCAATAAATTTAAATGCCAGAAAATCTATTAATAATTTTTGGTATCATTTAAAAACTGTACATGGAATCTTTAGTAATGAAATATTATTAAGTAAGTATAAATAACGCAATATTAATAATCTTTTATGATTTTAATCAATAATGGCTTTATTGATTTAGTTAAAGAATTAGATCCTAATTATAAGCTTCTTTCTAATAAAGCAATCAAAATTATATTAGCACAAGCTTATATACATACAAAGAAATATCTTATCAATAAATTATTGGAATCTTTTTTCTTTTGTCATTAATAACAGATTGTGGACAGCACGTTCAAAACCAGGATATATAGAAATTACTTGTTTGTATTTAAATGAAGACTTCAAATTACATGAATTACTTTTAGCAATTAGATATATATTATATCCACATACAGAAAAGACTATTGCAAATTTAATTAATGAAATTATAAGCGAATGGAATTTAAGCAAACGAGTATTTTGTATTACTACTGATAATGGAAGCAATATGATTAAGGCAATTAAACTCTTACTGGAAACAATTAGATTATCTTGTACAACTTATATATTGCAACTCATAATTGGAAAAGGCCTTATTCCATATGAAATACTTGTCACATGTGCTAAGAGATTAATTAATTTTTTTATGACACCAAAGCAAAGTGAAAAACTAGAACAAGTACAAAAAAACATAAATATATCTGATGAATAAGACAGATCATTATTTACGAGTGGTAGCAGATATTAAGACATAGTGGAATTCATCTTATATTGCATAGAATCGATTAGTAAAGTTATGTTATACTATTAATATAATGATTAGTTTGCTTGAAACTAAAAATAATTATGACTCAAAACAAGATACTAAACATCTCAAAAAAATCAATTTAACAATAATTGAATGGGATACAATTAAAGATATTTTATCAATATTATAACCATTTGCTGAATTAATAGAATTTTTGGAAGGAAGCAATTATTCAACAATTAGTTTCATGTTTCATGCAATTATTATATTAATCAATGATCTTAGATCAAATACAAATATAGTTGAAACTATTGATTTTACAACAAACACAACTGTATTTGATAATGATATTAGTTATGAAGATGCAAGTGAGGAAATTGATGAAACAATTATTACTGGATCTCGTAAAATTTCTATTAATATACCTTAAAATTGTAAAGGGCTTATAGATTGAATTAAAAATATATTATATACTAGTTTACTTCACTATTATTCTATTCCTTCAAAAATCGGTTTACTAGTAGCATTATTAGATTCTCATTGCAAATCCCTTAATTTTTTGCTTCAAATTCTGAAAAAATAGAAACAATTAATATGTTAAAAAATTTAATTACAAACTCACATTTAGATTCAAATAATAATTCTCAACAATTATTCAAAAAAGATAGCTCACTTATTACAAGAATGTTTCAATCACATCATATACAAACCAATGAAGTAACTGATTATCTTGCTCAACCAGAAATTTCTCCAACTTCCGATCCTTTTCTTTGGTGGATTAATAATCAAGAAAGATTTTTGATTATTTCAAAACTTGCCCGTAAATACCTTTCAGTATCTGCTACATCAGCTCCTAGTGAACGTCTATTTTCAAATGCAGGAAATATATTAACAATAAGACATACAAATCTTAAGCCACAAGTATTTGAACAAATTCTTTTTTTAAAAAAAAATAATAACTTAGTTAATAATATTTTTCCTGAATTGTAATTTGTAATCAAATAAATATTTTTTTTTTCAATTTTTTGCAAATCTCGAATAAATAATTATTTGCAGATCTTTATTTAATCAAATAATCAAATAAACGAATCCAACCCCTCATGTTCCAAGACGACATATATTGCTTCCATTCATGATCTGTGAAGATAGTTACTGTACTTAGGAAAATATTAGTAGACATCAAAAAATTGAAAAGAAACAACCGTTATGGACCTTTTGTTACTCCAAGAAACTTGATAACGTTAGGATGCACCGAAATATTTCAAAGAGCCTTATCTAATAAAATTAAGACATAATTTAATAATATTGGTTTTTTTTTATCTGAAATGCAGTATTTTCGTCTAATAAAATTTTACCCTACGTTGAATTTCTTTAAAGACAATTTGTCCAACTGCGGTTGACTATTTTTTAAACGTTTCAATGCAACCTTTCTTTCAAATACTTTCCATTCCGCACATTCTACAATACCCAACTTCCCGTTCCGATTTCTTTGAGTGTGGTGAATTGATTATAATTAAAGGAATTGATGTGACCATTCTTATTTCTTCTTCCAACCATTCTTATTCCAAAGGAACTAATTTATAGCTTATTATAAGAATTTTATCCAATAAAAAATAAAGTTAACCTTGGTTCAACTATACTTACCAGAACTCGAATTTTCGGCAATCATATACGCACGTTAAGTGTACGTACTGTAACGGTTATCGCGAGTCTGTCGCTAATGAAAGCTAAGATTCACGTAACGATGGTAAGTGTTTTTATTTTATGAGGCGGAATTGATTGTGGCCAAAAAAGAATGTTTAAGATTACTTTTTTATTGATGATATGTGTCTCTTTTTTATACAATTAGTTCAATAATTACATAATAATTGACAATAAGAAAATAAAATAAACAAAAAAAAGAAATCTAAAATAATAGATCGCAGCAAAACCATTACATAATTGATTGTTGTAATATGACATGATTCATTTATCTGACAAGCAGAAACGGGTCACGTGACTTAGTCCGGTCTTTTCTTTGATTATGCTATAGTTTTCTATCACATTATTTCACACTTACATGTGTGCTGTTTATTATTTTGACGTGTTTTGTCCCAGTTAGAATTAGCGATACTCCTTGGGGATCGTTGTTAGTACAGATCGCGTCGCCATTACACATGTTACAGTTAATGTCGATCACATTTAGAACACAGCATCCAAAAAATAACGTAGTGTCCATTTGTCACATGCCCTGAACAACAGTGCAGTATGCCGAATATCAAATCATCAAAAACAAATAAAAAAAAAAAGAGTTTTTATTATTATTTGTAAAAGTTCTAATTACGAAATCAAAATATTTGTTAGTATAATCGGTTAGTAAGTTCACATCACTTCACTAAATGCTAACTTAAAAGTAATCTGAAATAAATGAAATCAAAAAAAAAAAATGATATTTCCTAAATGAATAATTTGTTGGGTTCATTGCATGATGGGTATTTCGCGAATAAAAAAGTTATGAAATTTTAAATTTCTCATACTTTTATAATAAAGTAACAAAATATGATTTTTTTTTTAAAAAAAAAAAATAGAAAATTAGGTATTAAAATACGCGAGTTTATAAATATAGTTTTCAATCAAATTTTTTGATTTAACATTAATCTAATCACGGTATTCATTACAATATACAGTATGTTAAATATTTTTTTCATTTTTAATTTAGTAGCATTGTGACGTGCTTTTTTTTTAGTGAATAGTAATAATATTGTTTCGATCAAAAGACATTAGAATATGCCTAAAAAATAAAATTCAATACTGATAGTGTCATGTATATGTTTTCCTTTATAACATATATAATTGTGTTTCTCGATTTTAGAGTCTACATTCACATAGTGCAAGATTTCGTTTTACCGGCATTCTCCCAATGATAAATTTTACCAATAAAGATGCATAGGTTTATTTTATCACTCGTGAAGTCAACTCTTTTTTGCTCGTCGATATACTGCTGAGCATCCCTTTTAGTAGTAAAATTCCGAGAATTTTTGTCATTATTATATCACTAACGGAAGATGACATGCGATCGTAGGAAAATCATTAACGCTTATATTACAAGATACACTTTTCATGCACGGGTATACAGTATACTGAATAACCTTCTTTTATATTGTTAATGCATGTTTATTTATAATGAAATGAAGGTGATGAAAATAAAATTACAAAATATGCCAATAAGTATTAAGTTCGTTAATAATATGATACACGTTAATTATGAGATATTATCAGATCAATTCGTTTGCAACTAAGAAAATTGCTATTCACTGCTGTATCTGCTGTGTCTCAGTTACCCCCGGTTTAGAAGAGATTTGTGAAACTTCTGAATTTCGCCGTTTTTTCTCGTATGAATATTCAGGACGCAGAGTTTGATTATTATCTTCATCCCGAGTATAACTTCTTATTTCGTTAATAGAGTCCGAACTATTCGAACCGTCATGGCGCAAATCGCTCTCATTTCTAAAATCTTGATATGACATTGTATCCGATTGAGAAGGCGTAGTGATTGTGTTCATGCGATCTTGCTTTCTGATTGTCGCTATTGTTACCGGAATAGTCTTGCGTAAGTCCAAATGCCTTCCCTCTAGTATTAATTTTATGTCAAGTTTGTGTTTGATGATTGTGAATGAACCGAAATAAGTAGCATGGATATTATTCGGAATAAAGAGAGGAAACATTTGCAAAATTTCGTCTTCATTTTCAGCTGTATGCTGATTGAATACTTCAGAACCTAGATAGGATTTATTCTTGATGCATTGTGTGGTCATCCTTTCTTGATTTTCTAAAGATAATTCCACACACGTCCTCAACGTCG